CTGCTGCTCCGGAACCAAAAAGGTACGGGTCATCCTGGCATTGCATGATTGTGACATGATCGCGCAAAAGCCTTCTGGCTCGTACCTCAAAAGAAGTGCAGCTTTACTGCGAACTCAAGTCAGCCCAGCTCTCAGCCCCAGAAACAATAAGGTCGATCGTTGGGTTAGATTAGTGCTGGATGGGAAGGGGCCAAGGTTAGCCCATAAAAGCGCAATTGGCGACTGTCGTCGTTTGCCGAACGGCAAGTCAAGCTGTCTTACACACGAACCTTTGCGCAAAGACTTTTTCAGGAAATGCTTCTCAACCAAGGAAAGGCAAGGTAATGGCCAAAAGGTTTTCATGTTGTCTGTTCATTAATATAGGTTTAATATATAACTGTAGCCGTCTACTTGTGCATATGCAGTTTGACTGCCCCTGATCAGGTCAAGTCTGCAATCAAACGGCTCTTGCTGGACTCTGCAGCGCAGCACAACCCCTTGACAAACCTCTTGCCTTTGCATCCTTCAAATTGGTGGCCTTTGGTCGAGGACGCATTTTCTTCGCCCGTTTGCAGAAATTTGTCAGAGAGCCTGCTCACGAAGGCAATTGACCATGCGGAATGTTCCTACTTGTCGATAGATGGCACCTTTCGTGTTTGTCTATCATTGCTCGGACAGCCCAAATTCAATGATCCACCTAGTGTTCGGCAGCAGTTCCCATACACAGGAGAGAGTTCCATCACCCGAGTGATTTCCATCAGAGGTCGGAGCGGCGCTGTCTTAGGATTGATCCCTGCAGCTGGTGAAGGGCCTTCTCACATACTGCACTGCTTGCAATCAGCGCTGCCTGAGCGAGGGCTACAGCAGGTTGAGCACATTGCAGTTGACAACCCTTCAGGCAAGCTCTTCCAAGAGTTGAAGGGCACCTTGTGCAAACTAACCAGCGTGTCCTTAGACCCTACTCATGCCTGCATGCACTACGAGCAGGCGCTTGGCAAACATCGTTCCGCCGGATCTGGTACGCTGCGAGAAAGTTTATGGCCAAGTTTTGTGGACGAGACCCTGATATCACGGCCAACATATGGGGGCCCATGTTTGAGGGCAACAACTGTCCAAGAATCACTGGCCAAGAGCAAAAACTTCGCGAAGAAATTAAGTCAGGGTTGATGCCAGCACGAAAAGCACAACAGGTGTTGAGCGCCTCGGATGCCCTGAAGGTGTGGCCAACCCGCTTGCAGTTCGTGGAAGCCATTGCTGCTCGGGCAGCAGTTCACAGTGAAGACTTGGCCAGAAAGATTGAGGGCACAAAGATCACAGTTGCCACCATCCTATACAACCTGACTGTGGGTGACCGCATGGAATGGTTGTTCAACTGCTTGCGCTACCGGCACTTCCTTCCCGAAGCTGTCCGGGTACTCTTACCGTCTGGTACAGCTTCGAATGAGGCGTTGCATGCGGAGATCAATGCTTGGTTCCGCCAGGTCCAGCAAATGCATCGCAGCACTCTTGCCCTGAAGCTCCGCATCCAACAGCTTGGCAAGCTAGTCCCTCACATGGTGGCGTTGCATAGCCCTACATCGCGTCAAATGCCCGAAGGGCATCTTCTGGCACGCTATTTGGGCAATCCGCTATGGTCAACAAGTGCGTGGGCAGAGTGGCTCTCACAACGACAAGTTGACTTGCCTCTTGCAGGCCAAAGAAAATCGGAGAAGCGGACAGTTGCTGAGGCAGGATTGAACATGAGAAGACCAGCAGCTCAACGCGCAAAAAAAAGCACGCCTTTCACTTTAGAGCGGCGTCCTGGGTTGTCCCGGGCAGGCGTGTACATGCGGAAACCTGCCAAGATATCCTGACGAGCGTTGAAGACCTGTGAACGGAGAAAAAGCTGGCGCGTCAATGCGCTTGAGGGTTCCTGCGCATGTCAGTGGGGAGGTGGCGTGTTTCTGATTTGAATATTGTGCCGTCAGCGGTGCTTGAAGGAGTGTGAGTCAAGCCTACAACCAAAAACAAACCCACCAAAGCTAAGAACTAGCAGAGAACTGTCAGTCTCCGTTGCTGTTTTCCAAACTGGTGGTGAGCTGCGATACAACACCGCAATGAGAATATATTCTTCACTTAAGTCAGCGCCCTCCAACGGGGTGACACAGCACACCACAGTGGGAAGATGTTGCGAAACACATGCAGGAAGAGCAAAGGAGCTTTATACAAATGTTTTCACACGAAAAGTTAGCGCTTTACTGCTACTGCAGTAGACCCTTACATTGTCAGTTCGCCCTGCCAGCCGATGATTTCCAAGCCTTATCTCTCTTTGGCGAACGGCTTCGATCCTGTCAAATGAATGCCGCGGAAACTGTATAGGTGTGAGGCTCGAGACACACTCTCCCCACGTCATTCCCGCTGCACAAACATATCACAAAACACTTCTCTTGCTCTAAGATGACAATCTTTCAGTAGGCCACTTGTGCCACTTCACGAATTATATCCCTCTGAGCTTGAAATTCCGCACTACAAACTGTAGGAAACCTCTCCGACGTACGCCCGCATTAGGCTCTCCTTCTTTGTGGTCGTCGGACTCGTCGGGTCCACCATCGGTTCCTGAATCACCTGGGATTTCAATTTCTCACATGGACACGCAATGGAAAAAATGAAAAAGGAACAAACCACCGTTGCAAAACCACTGGCGATCACAGCCTGACCACGCCTTCTTTCACATTGTGTCTTGGCGAAAGAAAAATAGACTGCACTTCGTACAGTTACCCCGTGTTGGTCCTATATAGTACACGCGCGCACCTACGTGGTTGGATGTGTGTTTGCGCGCGCGTGTGCACATGCGTTCCACGCTGTTTTCCTGACGGGTATTCTGTCGACTAAGACCTCTTGAATACATCGTCCGATCACACGCCTCCATGACCATCCGCGTTTGAAAATCGATATTTACGGTATATATACCATTCAATACCTCTCCCGAACACATCCATTCCGGTTCCCCATGGCTTCTGAAAGAGATAGGTCAAACGCATTGGATTCCAGCAGTATAGTTCCTGTTTGGTTGGCGATGCCATTCTGTTTGTTGGGACCGACGGCGCAAACTCGGCCGCCGTGCACCAGAGGCTGGAGGAAAAAGGAAGGTTGCGGTGAAGGAGTGTTGGCAGCCGACATGGCGTCTTCGCAGCGACGCTGAAAGTCTCTTTGGCTGCTTGGCTCAGCTTCGTGTTCAGGTTTAATTACAATGTTTGAGTCGCAACAGGTTTCACAAATGTTTGCGGACCTTAAGTCTGCAGTCATTGTCCTTCGATGTTAGTCTACCAAACGATACGGAATACGGACATACTCTTTTCTTTCATTGCGCCATCGCGCAACTAATGCTGGGCGCGCGCTTCCCAGCTCAGCTCAGAACCAGAAGCTGTCGCATTTTGTGCGTTTGGCGCCTGAGGTTCTGTGCAGCATTTGTATCATGATCGCGCGCATCATGGCGTGGCACGAATTAAGTTTGTCTCACATGAGGCAGCGCAGAAGTGTGTCGACGAATGGAGGGCCGAGTTTATGTGAAAAGTGCATGTGTGATACAGTGAGTAACAGGTGGGCACAGACATCGGACCAGGTGACTATACCTATACCAGTTGCAATGTCTGGACCCAAAACTATATGAAACGACAAGACTTCTGTCAAACTTGAACTGTCCAAACTTAACCCGATAGAATCTCTCGACAAACTCCGAAGAAATGACCGCTCGACACACCACAGCTGCCAAATGTGCAGTCTTGCAGTTCAGCTTGTGTTGCTCTTGCGGTCAATGCGGAAGCGCACCTTGACCTGATCGCTGTGGCAAGCCCGCGGATGTCGGACAGGTCACCATATGTATGAATAGCGCAAAACAGTCTCTAGCCTACAGTTTTCTCGGTAGGGCTGCCACTGCGTGAAACAGACTTCACAAAGTTCAGTGGACCACAAAAGTGTGTCGATGAGTGGAAAAGCGAGGCTTGGATGAAAACATCCACTGAGAGAGATCTCCTCGACGACCAGGCAGATCTCCTTTTGGGCTTCCGTGGTCACGTACGGCGTGGCGCTCTTCGGCGACCGAGATCCAAGGAACACCTTAGGTGTACCAGGACCGGATTTTTTCTTGAAAAGCGGAAAGAAACAAAGATCGTCAACAACCATCGTCACCACTGGGCATCGATACAAGAGAAATCCCTTTCCAGGATCGTCCATCGTTTTCGATACCCTTTTCACGAGAGGACCAACGAGTGTCAAACGACACAGGATCCCTCCAGACCGTGAGAGCCGGTGAGAAAAGAAAGCATTTTGTCGCATGCATCCTTCATGCCCAGACACGACGAATGGGACTGCCATATGTAGGCCGGCATTGTTCACGTTAAAACTTAGCTAACCTAGCTAACTTAGCACATGAAAACCAAGCCGTCCAAACTTGCGTTCCGAAACCACAAGAACTGTTTTGAAACCCGAGCCGGCCAAGCTGAACCAGATAGAATAGTGCTGATCGATGCAGCTGTCAGAGTACAGCGCGTTCGGCTTGAGTTGAGCGTGCTAGTGCGGGATGGAGAAATGCTTTGGACGTTTGACAATCTTTATCACAGCTGTGCGCCTCATAGGGCGCATTCTTCCCAGCCACGGGGGGGCCCCCCCTCCCCGACGAACAGAATCAACTCTTACAGGACCAAACTCAATGCACAATCCCAACTCCTGATTGTAATACATTTTTGCTAAAGCAAGGAGAACTCAGGTAGCTCAAGCTACCTTTCGTGACTTTGTTTAAAGAATTTCTTGCCTTTACTGCTATGCAGCCTCCATCCTGGACGCAACTTATTCTCACCTGGTTGAACTTTACAGCAAAGTGTCTTTGATTCTCTCTTGATGTACGAACGCGTGGAGGGTAGTGATTTCTACCAGGGTCCCATCATCTTCAGGTAATGCTACATCTACAGCCGTGAGGTGAGTTTCTCCTCTTTCTCAGAATCACAAACCAAACCACCCCCGAGTTCACAGCTTATCCACCTCTCCTGACGCTGTTCTCGCTGTGTTTCTTGGTGCCCTTGGGCAAAAAGACCTCCAACACGCGGTCGTTGGCTTTCCGAAACGGATGCGCCAGCGAGGACCTCCGTCGGGCTTGCTGCTCGGACACGAGGATTCCCCAAAAGAGAGGAGCTCCACAGGACAACGCAAGAAATTCCAGCTGTTTCTGGGAAGACTTGTCTAGGAACCCTTTCTGTTTTTTCTGTTCACGTGGCATGGGATTGTTGAGCAGTGGCCACGCCCCATGTTTCATGGTTTGATCTTTGATTGATTCAGTTGTGCACTAGCATGCATCGTAACTCATCAAAGTTTGAGCGAGAATACTGCTTTGAATACGGTTTCTCCGAATCAATCCGATTCCACTTACCCTCCCTGCAGCAAACATGGTAGTGGGGGTTGCCCCCCTGTTTGGTATTCGGATTTCATGGTCTCTCTAGGGGCTGTCGACGTCCACGTCCATGTTTGTTGCAGAGAGGGTATATAAATATAACATCGTATAACAAACGATCTCACCACTTCCTGGAAAGGATGACCGTCTGTCAAAAGAGAACCGGTACACCCATGGCAGGCAAACGTGGACCCCCCAGATCTGTGTAGCCAACACGTTACTGTGCCAGCCAATACTGAATAGTGAATAGTGAACCATATGTTCTGCGCTAGTCTTGAATACTTCACATGTGAGCAGTGTTTTATTTGGTGACTACAGGGCCTTTACACTGGAAGCATACCTTTGCAAATGGTGCCTTCGAGGCTACACGGGTGTGCGTGTGTGTTGCCTTCGCGATGCACCTGCGCAAACCATTTTGGAACATGAGACAAGGATTGTTTGCCGCAAATGGCCTTCGCTGTTGGGGAAAAAAAGAGTGGGATGCACGATTTGGCTTCGCATGCCTTGGCGCATGCACCAACTGTGAGAATGGCCTTCGCGGGCTGTGATGCAGTTCCACTTGACATGGAAAAAAAGGACTAGTTGCTCATGTGTGGATCAGTTTGTCCTATTGCTGCTCTACTCGGCGTGGAAATCATCAGATCCATGGATCAGGAACCCCGCCATCTGACCGGCGTCATGCGGCTAGAGGATGTTATTATATCTATATATATTTATATATATATATATATGAGTGTCTGCCAAAACATACTGTCAAGCAAAGGACATGACTCAGCAAGGTGATCGCTTTTGAGGAGGGGCCTATCGCTTTTGCAGGTTTTAGCCACAATGTCAACATAGCTGAACATATCCAAAACCTGTGGAAATTCGCTTTTGAGGGGGGGCCTATCGCTTTTGCAGGTTTTAGCTCGGCTCAATTCCTGAGATTGCTGACCACTCTATACTAAATTATATAGTTGTTGCGCGTTTTTTTGCGATTCCTCATATATGCCGGTGTGTATTGAACAACGACCTGAAACCAAGATCCATACCGCGGGTGTGAACTAGCAACCAGAAGAGTGAGTAGACACGGACAAAACAAATGGATCAATAAGGGTCCAATAATGGTCCAGGATGTTTTTTTCCAAAAACTGTGGACTTGATGTTTCATGTTATTTCCCACTCTCATGTGCACTGATGTGTTCTCACTATGTCGATCACATGATGTCTCTTTTGGGCCTTTTACTTTGCTACGACCCTAAACCTCTCCGCCCCTTTCATGGCCCGTGAAAAAACCTCGCCGAAAAAAACCTCGCTCGCTCCACCATCTCTCACGTGACCCCTTCGGATCGGTTCCCGTCCTTCCCGGTCGTCCCGATTCGGGGTTCGTTCGCCCAGGTCGACCATGTTCGGCTGTCGCGACTTAGGCCGACAGCCAGGTCTTTCCAAACCCGTCGGGTTCTTTGGGTTCTTCTTTGGGTTCCTTGAAGATCGACCCAGAAATGGTCCTTGAACCGAACAATTCCCATCCCAAACATCCCAAAACACATCCCCCCCCCAAAGAAACGAGAGGAAACAAAACGCTCTTCCGCCCAGCGACCCAAAGCTGCTTCCCCCGGTGTGTAGCTCGCTACTCCGGGAGCTCCATAAGGACCTCGGGAGCGAAGGTCCAAGGTCCAAGGACCCTCGGCAGGTTGGAAACTCCGCAAGCGACTGTCCTTCGGCAAGCGACGTCCGGAACGTCCGGAGCGTTCCGGACGCTACGAACGTAGCTCCTGACCTGACTACTGGTAGCAAATAGCTACTAGGACCTAGGAGCAAAGGGCATCGCTAGTAGGAAGATCCATACCATGACCCTCCAAGTCCAGTGGCGTTTGGGGGAAAAAGGACCACAGGTGGTTTCTGGGCACCGGGAAACACCTCACCAGGATGGTCCTGGTAGGCAATCACGCTTTGTAGACACGGACATCCTCTGGCACCTAAATCATGGAAATGGGGGTGGTTGGCCGCAACCCCTAACAACAAAGTGAGGGAGACCCTTTGAGTCGAACTGATTTGGAGCTGTGTCTTTCTTCGTTGACCTTTCGCTCCTTTTCTCGCAAAAAGCCCACTGCCCACACCGCTCACATCCGCTCCGTGCCTGGTGTCTGTGCGGGCTCCGCAGGAGTCTTGGAGCTTCAAGCTAGCGCTCGTGCCGCTACACACCACGGAATAGTCCACGCGACAGCCTGGGAGGTCGTTGACGCGAACGGGAGCTTCGGTGGAGGTTGACCGCACGAACCCACCGGTGCTCGTGCTCGGGTCGACCGGGCGAACGCTTTCCTTTGGGTTCGATCGCGGTGCGTCGAACAGGGATGCGAACAGGTTGGTCGGATCTGAGGCTTGTCATGTGTCATGTCTGGCGATCAGATCGAATCCATGGCGATGGCTCGAGACGAAGGAACCCCATCTCCGTCAAAGCCCGACTTGTAGCTTCTTGCTCCTAGTAGCTTCTCCATTGCTCCTACCAAAAAGGACGGTCTAAGGTTATGATGATCAAGACCCATCAAAGACTGGAAATCATTAAAAAGACTTTAAAAAAAAAAAAAAAACAGAAAACCCGGTCAAAGACCGTCCTTCCCTCCATTTCGAGCTGTGTTGTTTTTGTTTCTTTTTTGTTTCTTGTTTGTTTCTTTTTTGTTTATTTTGTGTTTATTGTTTGTTTATTTTTTTGTTTCTGTTTTGTTTTTTTGTTTGTTTCTTTTTTGTTTCTTTTTTGTTTTTTCCTAGGGTTTTTACAGAAAACCTGATTTCAAGGCCAGCTTTTGCTAGAACAGAACAAAAACAGAACAAATAGACGTGTTCTGGGTGCTTGTGTTAATATTGTTGTATGTTTGTTTGTTTGTTGTTTTTTGTTTTTTGTCTGTTGTGTTTACACATTTTGTGATTGTTTTTTGGTGCTGTTTGTTTTTTGTTTATTTTTTGCTTTTATTATCTTTTTCAGGATCATCAGTTATTGATTATGTATTTTTCATAAGTCTAAGGATTTTTCGTTGGAATCACGGCCGGCCGAAAGGACATCGTGATTCGATTCTCCAGGATGGACCGTCTGACGGTCACGAACCACGTCGCCCTCTGGACAACGGATCGTTCCCTGAGGCTCTCGCCTTCACCATACTCCTTCGTCGCCAACTTCACTCCTCGTTCGAACGATCGGCTCCCACCGACGGTCGAATCCTCAAAAAGAAGGGATGTTGTTCAGTGAGAACTGTGAGAACTAGTGGGCGAATTCCTGAAAAAGCAGACCACAAGAGCTTCCCCAGCTTGAGCCCCTCGCCCCGGCTGCCCGATGGCCGAGAAGGGGGACTGCTGTTTGCTGCGTGTTGGCTATCACTATCGGATTGAAGAATCCCCAAATGTCCTGGGGCAACTACATTCATTCAGAATCAGATAGATAGAACATCCCCCCTTACTCAACGGCGCCTGAATTGGTTTTATTGTTTGTGAAGACTGGGTGTTTATAAACTGAGAACCCAACACGTGTTTATTATAAACTGAAAAACCTGTGTTTTGTACAATAAAGGGGGGCATGTTCTAGCTACAAATTGTAACATAGGTCACTGACAAATGGGTTTATATAGAACGACTGAACTGACATCTGAAGAAAAGAATAGAGCGTATCTATAAAGTGAAGTGACCAAGGATTTATATAATGAAGTCCTCATCAAACCTCCTCCTGTCCAGTCATCCTATCTCATGGTCTCATCATGTTATAAATACCGAAAGGCGAACGGCCGCACTCCCCACCGCACACTTCTCATGCCCTGTGTCTCTGCGTGCAATCCCAGCATTACTTGTGTTTATGAAATAAATAGAACTACATCTGAGTGATTGCCTTTATGAAATCATGATTTATGTTCCTCCTGACAGTATTTGTAAAAAGTGTGCCTTAGACAGGACCATGATCAGAAGATCACAGTTTGTTCAAGCTCAACATGGTGGTTTTAATTAAAATGGTCCTATACGTCAGCAACAACATCAAATCCACAAACCTGTTTCAATTGCTGGTTTGGTCATTTATAGATGCAAAATGATGCAAGGGTGCCTTGGTTTCACGGTTTCCAAGTTTACAACGGCGCAGTTGGGCATGGCGCAATTCCCTAAAAAGGTGGTTGGGTGTTGTGGACCCCCATGTGTTCAATACATCTTTGGGGTGCCAGTGCCATCGAACCTCTGAAACCACTGCATGTGGTTGAAAAGGGGTGAATAGGGATCAAACCACTGTAATCAATGAACGGGATACACGGCGCGGTAGCTGAGCAAAAAGTTTTGCAAACAAGTACATGCAGGCTGGACTCCTTAGATATGACATTTCCTTGGAGGTCAGACTTATATAAGAACATGCTGAATGCTACTATCTGCACCTGCATGGCACTTGTCCCCATCGGCGGTTGGCAGGTCTTGTGGGCATAAAACCACTTGTGCCGTTCGCAGGCTAAGTTGGAGCCTTGCGTTCGACTTCCCAACTCCCAACGCGATTTTGAAGTTGCGCCTACAGAGGGCTGGGAAATGGAGTGCAACCCCTACCCGTTCTTGGAGTCCAATAGTGGAACTTGAGCGGAACGTTCTCCATGTAATAGATTTACAGTAGTTCAAGGTGACAACTCCCCCCCACTGGAACTCAGTAGGAAGAAGGCACGGATAAAGCTACGTACCTCTTGCTTCACGCGGAACAAGTTCCAAAGCTAAGTTCAACTAGCTCATCTTGAAAGACCACAAAAAGAACTGTTGGACTCTCAGGGTATACCTACCTGTCCAACTTGCACTTGTGACCAGCTATGGCCGTTCCACCAGGTGTCCATTCCACGCAGCGGAATGAAGGAAGTCAAACTCGCCACCTGAACGACGGAACAACGCTGGCGGGGGGCAACGTTGGAACAGCAGTGCGCAAACATGAGGGGTGGGACTCTGTTATATTCTAAGCCCTTGAGTGGCCAGCGGCCAGAGACCAGAAAGGGAACACGTCTTTCTGTTTTGCAAGGGGTGTGTGGTTTACATGTCATGTGTGTGCATGTAGCAAACGAGCAGCACTGAAGCACACAATGTGTTCATCCACAACTGCACATTTGATCTCGGATCTTACTTCTGGTCAGTCTTCTTCCTGATCTTCACTCATTTGCGGCAGGAGTAATTGGAGCAATACTCCTTGGTTGGCTTTCCTGGCTTTGTGGAACGGCGCGCCTTGAGAAACTTCGACTTGGCCAACTTTAGACGAGTTGTGCCGTTCACCAAAGCCGAAGGCGACTTGGCAAAACAGGGATGTGGCCGTTTGGGGCTGTGCAACTCCTGCAGGGAACACAACACCCTTTGATGCCAAGGTCTTCAAGTCAGCCACCGCGCTCGCATGGATCACAAATCTTGGTGTTGGAGAAGCAGCGCGCGGATTAGATGCATGTCAGAGCCACGGCCTATGGGATGGGATCCAAACACAGTCCGACTCAACAACCCAGCTGACATTGCCAGTCAGATGGAAGGCTTCGGCCTCTTGCATGGCCTCATCAACCCACAGGTGGGCTCCTGACCGCATGGATTAGCTTCATGGATGGATGGCCCCAACCAAATAACTAGACTGAAGGCCGCCCAAAAGTGCTTTCCAGGCACCGAAAGACGGGATTACACGGTATATACAGAGGTCAATTACTTTACGCCGGGCGATCCCCACCGTGGCATTCCCACCGAACTGGCCGGCCGCAGGGAGAAACGGACATAACTTATTCAGAGTTAGTGCCCTAGTTCTTGTTGCGCTCGTCGCCCGGAGCAGATACCTAACTCCTAGCAAGGCGGCCACAGGTCTTGTGGGAAGTAAGCTGCCAACTTTATTTTGAGCTCGAAGGAGAAATTTGAAGAGTCCTGCAGTTCTCAAAAGGGGCTGAACGGATGAGAGTTGGGCAACCAAATCTTTCCTGCAGGCACCAGCACCACTGCGCTGCATGATCTTAGCACGGCATTGAGAGCAAGCGACATATCGTCTTCTATTTGGAAACTGGCCCACACGTCTGCACCAGGCATTGGAGACAGTGAAACAGACCAACAATTCGAAGCAAGACCTCTTTCCACCACACGTCTGGCTACTCCAGGCTGCGGCTGAAGGAGCACGTCTTCGTCTGGCCAGGTCTGCACGAAGCGGTCTGAGTTGCGAGCTGCGAAGCACACGATCGTCTTACACATCTGCCCCGAAACGCGGTCGTACCTAAACCCGCATGTAAAACATGAAGCTCTCCGCAGAAGACCTGGATCAAGCAGAAAACCGACCGGGGCATGATGCCACCGGTGTTCAGCGCAAAGCCACATTCTAGACACTCAAGGAGTCGCTCAACCACTGGAAGAAGACGTGGAAGTTCAGTCACATTCTATAGTTTAAACTACAGCGTGGGCAACATCATCAGCTTTGCACACGAGCAGTAGAACACTAGCGGCAGCTCTTGCGTGTGGCAAACAAATTCCAACTGGTCGAAGGAGGACAGCTCATGTGTCGAGTCGACAGGAACGTCAATGAGTCGCAGTCGAAGAAAGTTCTGACAAAGATCGTCGCAGGGTCACAGGGTGGATCAGCCGGAATCGGAAGGAGTCATTCGCCGTCATTGGCAGGCTTTATCTCGGCGCTCGGTGCTGGCACCTGGAGCAAGCAATATTCACAAGTGCACTGCAGTGACATGGGCATACATAGACATACATACTTGCAACTGTACTGGACTTGTTATCATGCGTTACAAATGTGTGCAATTCAATGAAATGCACCCCTACACAGACACTGTATATATTTGTTGGCTGTCCTGCCTCCGTGGCAACCACTTTGAACCTAATTACTTAGGATATACTTAGGGCAAAACACACACGTGGGGAAAAAAGGGTGAAAGGGTAGCATTGACAGGCGTAGTATTAGACCAGATTCTAGGAAATAACAGTGGATGATGATGGTTCAGTTGCAGGCCTTTCTCTAAAGTAGTGATGTTCTTGTTCACCGACTGTTACAGGTAATGGGACAGACCCTACATATGTTCTATTGCATGAAAAAATATCATTGTGTATTACATCATATATGGATTACATTGGATTAGATTTGACTTGATTAGGTGTTTATATATGAGATGTAATCTATTGTTGATGAATTTGGTGGAGTCGCTCATCTAACTCACTGGCCCCGAACGGGCGAAAACCTGTGGTGGACAGACCTGCACAACCTACCTGGGTCAGTTTATGTTAAACAAAAAGCAACGGGCGACGATACGGATTTTGGTTGGAACTTGCGCCATACTCTAAAGGCATCATCACAATATTCAAACAAAACATGAAATCGCCATGAAGAGATACGTTCTGTTCATCAACATGCATGAACCAATCCTTTGAAAGGAAGATCCAATTCAGCCCCAAAGCACCGCTGCCCCAAGGGGCTGCACCGCAGTGAGTCCGTCGCCTTCAGGGACCCTGTTCCAAGCCAATTCGCCCCGTTCCACGCGATCGGGAGCGGATCGGACCCCGGTGTGCCGGTTTGCGGGTTTGGGGCCCTGTTTTTGGGGGGGGGTTCGTGTAGCCTGTATCGAGGTTTTGGAACCGTCCCAAAAATCGGTTCCCCTGAAAATCGAAGCGTTCGAGATCAGGGGTTCGATTCCGGTTCGGAGGGTGCTTCACGATGAACTCTGAACTTTTGTTCACCCCAAAAAGAACCGGTCTTCTCTTGCACGGTTTTTGGCGCGGTGATCGATTTCACGTGTTCTCGGCCTCTTCCCGTCCGCCTTCTTCGTCCCCTCTTCCCACGCCGCCTGTGTCCTTGGTGGCCTGATCGCGCCAGGAGATTCTCAACGCCTCCTGGCGCGCGATCGAGTCTCCCCGTGTCCCACGGCGGTCTCCGACCGCGGTCCGGTCCGACAGCGGTCGCCGGTCGATCCGCATGGCGCATGCGGCATCGATTCATGGGCAGGTGATCGGCGATCAGAGGTGAATATTGGAACATCTACCTGACATGGTTCACCCTAGAGGAGGAAGTGTATGTCTGCAGTAAAGTGAGTAACTGGTGGGCAACTGATAACAGGTCTGATTTGCACCGGGTGCAACTACTACCCAAAGTCTCTTGGAATGATCATCGTCAGAGAGCTTTTGGCACACTCTCTACCTATAGGGAAGACTCTAAGAATATTCAGGTGGAAAAAAGGGACACTGAATGGATCGATCAAACCCAGACAATCCACCTGCTAACTTAGATAATCCTCCCCTTGAAGGAAGAAGAGTGCGCCATCTGATTTGACAATCGACCCAATTGTTTATCAAGTATGTATATAAATGATGATGAATGTTGGTGATTCTCCTGGCAACCCCAACCCCTCTGACCCTCAACATCGCGGTTGTTCTTTTTCACGCAGTCCTTCATCACACAGTCCTTCTCCGCATTGCTTCGAAAACCTGCAGCTCGCTCAAGCAAGCTCCTCGGTGCCGGTGTCGCCCCGAAGAGTTCGCTCTCCACTACCGGTGTCTGTCTGATGGTGTCTGGTGTCTGTGAGAGGTCAAAGCGGGGTTTTCACTCCGGGTGGAGGTGTGTTTTTTTTTGCGTGTGTGAGAACTGTCCTCCCAAAAATGGTGGCAGCCCTTTTCTGCCGCAGGACCCGTAGGAACGATTCCTCGACCGGTCCCTGGGCCTCTTGTTCGCCACCCAAACGAGCGCCCGACCCGTCCGCCGGGCAACCAGCAAAGGAAGGTCGCCCGTACTACCCATCCAGGCATCGGGGCGTCGTCCGATTTGGCAAAGAACGCCGATCGATCAGCCGATCGCTTGAGCCACTGCCGGCCAGTGATGTCACGGAATGCGACGACAGAGAGGAATGGGTGACGAATGGAGCCTTTTGTGGACGAGGAAAACGACGGTGGGGGTGTACCGCCTGGGTGTCACCTGGAGGATGTGAAGAAGGAATTTGCCAAACCCATGGACGTTTTCGAAGGTTCCGAACGTGTCACCCGGTGGAAGGGCTCCGTCGTGTCACCTGGACCAATGGGATCTACCATGTCCTATGGACCGGTTGGATGTCTCGTCGTTTCCGGCCGGTGTCACAACGATGCCACAACGAGGCAGGCCGGTGGCGGCCGGTCGGTGATAGAGAGCCCAATGGAGGATGTCCACCCACTAGGAAGTAGCAGTGTCTTTATCAGTCGATCCGGTCTTACCAGTAACAGTGGATTTTCCGATGGTTAGTAAAGGCCTTGTTCAACAACAGTGATACTTGCTTGCTGACTGTTACAGGTAATAAGACCCATAATATACTATGTGTCAAGTTTTGTCACATGTTCGTCTCTCCAACTCGCTCGGGGAACCCCCGAATTTAAAATCCTTGTTTGTTTGAGCAAAGATCCAATGGTCCATGGACCTGAAAAATTGAGAAAATCGTAGATCTTTGTGAAATGGCGCTGACCCAAGACTCAGACAGAAACGTACAACCGGCACGCACAACCTCCCTTCTCCAAGTTAATTTTGACCTGTCGCATGGGGGCTTTGAGCCTGTACGTCCACAAAATGCCCATCCCTCAGGCAGAACAACTTCTCCGCAATCCGCAGAAGAAGAGGTTCTAAGAGGAACCTGCGACTATTCTTTCATATATGTTCCTCCAAGACAAGCTGGCAAGCTTGTGCTGCTGCAAGACGCTTGGAAACTTCTGAAAACAATTTCACAACTTGAGCTTGCTCAAATGGCAAAAATCGGAAGACACATGAACAAATCAACCTCCAAGCGTCTTGAGGCCAAAAAAGGCTTCCTGGACCACCTCTCACTTTCCCATGAGCTCCTTGAGCTGCGATCGTCCATTCAACAAGAACCAAATCTTACAACCACATACACAAGCCCTGGGAATCCAACAACCATTCTTTTGGTGTCTTTTTCAAAGAACCCTTCCTTTACTCAGAAGTTTAGACTACAATTGTACCAGGTCAACCATGGTCAACCACTCTTTTTAGTGGTCTTTGAAGGCTAGGTCGCTAGGGCAAGGGACAACATCTGCAAAGAAAGCACTTCGTGGACCGCGCGCGCGGTGCGACTGCGGTCCAAGCCTTGATCTTCCCGTTCTTCAACAAGGGCAAGGTGCCACCCATGCCGCCATCGTTGCAGCCTATGGCGGGTGAGCGTAAACCGGGTGAGACTGACTCCCTCCGCTGGATCGGTTTGGTGAAGGTCGGCCACTTGAAAGCCCGCAGGTGTTCTGGATGGTGGGTTGATGTTGGTTGCGGGGATATCTGGGAGAAAACACCAAGTACATCAAAGCACCAAAGAGCCAGAACAATCCTCATCTATTTGATAACTGTGATGAGGTTGCAGCCTGCAACAATCGTCATCCCTTGAAACCTGCCCCTGCAAAGGATTCCAAATGCAGGACATCCAAGCATCCTATCATAATTCCCGGCTTTCCCCGCCTCCAATGAAGTTCTGCTTCACAAAGACCTGCTCGAAATGAGGGCATGAAATCGAACAGTTGTGTTTCTCGACCTGAATCCAACCAAAACCACATGTTGGTTCAAAAAAAGGAGAGGTCGACCTACTTCTTGAGGTGCAGTTCCACCACCTACTTCTATTGCAACGTGAAAAACAGCACATTGTGGCTATCTCAGTCACGGTGGCGTCCATGGCGTCCGTAGAGAAGTTCCCCACGAAGACGCAGGGTCCGATTCAGGAAGGCGCTCCTTAGAGGTTAAGGGCTGTCCATTTTGTCACCCCGACAATGGGATCTTTCATTTTTCCAAGCTGACGAGAGGAGTCCATCGCAAAGGAGCTGACGAGATGTTGCTCCGAGTTTCTTTTGGTATTGACTAGTCTCTCCTTCGGTTGAGACGGTGGGTTGATACGTGGTGACTTTATTTTTGGCTGTCAATGGCTGTGAGGTTTTCACCCCGCGCCCTGAAGATGAACATGGAACCCACACGAACCAGTGGTTGGTGTGTACGAACGGAAAAAACCATCTTCCAGGGTACCTTTGTGAGGGTCCATGTTCGTTTTCGGGAGTGTACCTGGGCCTTCAAAGGGTTGCGAACATGGAGATCCATTGAGAAGTGCTTGGTAGGTCTCTTGGAGACCCCAAAAGGAAGGTGCTGGTCGGTTGACCGATGTTGGACCTCGGTCGGACGAGTCAGCGGGGGGGCGGGAAACGAAGGACATATCGAAGTGATCAGGGCCCGGTTTAGATCGGTGAATTCGATGGCAGAAAACAAATAAGAACTCGCTCAGCACTTGGTCACTTGGTCCAAAAGAATGAAAGAAGACACAATAAAAAACATACTGTTGATCACTTTTGACTCCATCTCCACCGAACCCTCTCTCTCCCTCACCGAACCAACCGCCCAACCGTGGTTCTCGCCCACCGTGCGCCTTGGGGACACTGGTCGAGCCGCCGCACTTGCCGGCCAACTGGCTGCGATCAAAGTCCTCCACCACGGTCGGAGCGTATCCTGCGAGGCACCGAGTCCGCGAGACCGAGTCCGCGCCGGAAGCCACCGGCCAACTGACGAGTTCATTCCCTTTTTAAGATGCCCCCCTATCAGGAAAAGGAGCATGAAGAGTTGGATCAAAACTAGGCGCTCGTGAGAATAGCTCTTTTACATGGGCTCCTTGTTCGGTAAACAGAAGAACTTCTTCCAACTGACGACCTGTCACCGCTGGACGCATGATGTCACCGTCCAGCGTCCAGCCTGGCCCGTCAGAAAAAGGAGAGCCCACGATGGGCTCCCAAAGCAAAGCCGAGGCTCCGTGCGAAGAAAGGAATATTAGAAAAAAGAGACAGAAATAGTGACAGTGAAACGTAAAAAAACAAAGAAGAATTCATAGATAAGCCAGACCATGTCTGGGAAAATCCGTGAAACTTATCTATCTATTTGGTAGCAAAACTCACCCGAACTCGCCGTGAGACATGTACCCACCCCAGTCGGGTCACCGCGTGAGCTAGGATCAAAATAGAATCATCTATACAGCTGCCTGGCATTGGGAAAACCGCGACAAAGCTGTTGAACAAACTGAGTTCATCCCAAAACACTCTCACCATCTCTCACCAAGTTTACTTGACTATGAACAAATTTGGCTTAACATAGGCTTTGACATGGATGCAAATACCCAAAACGGTGAGCTTTCCTCCGCTCTGCTCGTCTTATGTCTCTCCCGCGCCACACAGGGCCGGGGAGCCGGTCCTGCATCCTTCAGCGCGGCCAGCGCCTTCTGGCAAAAGGGGCAGGAGCTGCTGGAGAAGACCACCATGTCCTCAACGTCCGGAGCGGCGTGCGGAAGCAGGAGCAAAATCGGCGGCGGCGAAGCCACAGTAGAAAAAAACCCAAGTTGAGGCAACATAGCAGTGCTTCTGGACCGAGACCAGAAAGGTCTGGAAGGGGCTCCAATGTTTCTTCAACAAGATTAGGACAACTATGGACTGCTGTGAACATCTGTAAGAGGTCAGTCGCCCAAAATGGATTCGGAGGCCGACCCGTCGCGTGACCAAGAAACCGGATGGCACGTACGCACAGAACCAACGAGTGCGATTTGTGTGCTTGACAAAGAGATATTTATATACCTAGAACCCATTTGACCTTTGTTTTGATAGGGAAAAGATCATCTTTTGGGTGGTTGGTGGTCCAAAATAGAGGTCATTCAGGTTCTAGGTATATATACTCTACCAGAAGGATTGCTTGACAGATTGCTTGGGTGTTTTGTGGCATCCTATGTTGGAGCTGGTCCTGAACGGCCTGAACGTCTAGTGGGAGTAAATTCTGAGAAAGTGTTGCGACGCTGGTCGTCTTGTCTCGTCCTCGTGTTCCTTTTTGATGTTGTCTTTTGGAAGCCATTCATGCTTCAACCATGACCAAGCTCGCTCGCCCCAAACTGTCACGCGAGTCACTCAGACATCGTCAGACTCCGTCAGACATCGTCAGAATCCAGAAGCCCCACACAAGCTCTTTCGGGCTGTCGATTGAAAGCCCGTGACAGAGCAACGACGTGGGATGTCTCTAGGCTCGGAGGAACTGCATGATGTTGTTGATTGAACCGTCCGAGGCACGTTGGAGTTGATGACCTCGTCAATGGATGCCATGGTTTTGGAAGTGCTACCTCCCATCAGCTGATCACGTTGGCAAGCCGAAAACTGCCGGGCCATCGCGCAGATGCCGGGCCATCGCGTTTCGTGGGGGGGGTCCCACACACGGAGCACCAAGAACACGAAACACCCCAAACATCAAAATCCTGCCAGGCACAAAAGCAAGGAATCCATGGATTTGGTTTCTTTCGATCGCCAAATGGTGCCATGGTGCCTGGGTCGATTTGAAATGTGTGAAACTTAGATGACACCTAGAAAAACCAGCACCCTCACTGCCAGGTCACTTGAGGCTTGGGTTTAGGGTTTTCTAACAGGTCGTTGTCTCAGGCGGTCTCAGGTCTCGGTGGCCTGTCTCAGGTCTCAGGTCTCGGTGGAAGAGACCAAAGTGACCAGTGTCTTGTGATGAACATCTCCCATCAAAAAACTCACGCGAAGTCCTGATGTCCACTGCAAACGAAGAAGACACCCAGCTCCCTTCTTGCTGTCCATCAAAAAAGTCTTCAATAGGTTTCTCTAGGACAATATGAGCTACCACAACATCAGCCAGGAATGATAACCACCATTGACCATAAAACTAGCAACTCTTGGGTGGTGTTGCTTAATTACAAAGAAAGATAAAGGCCTATCTGTCTATCTGTCTATGTTTATTAAGGCATGAAACGCTTTCAGTGTCACCTCTTAGGAAACATCAACTGCTCGCGCGCACGTCATCAAAAATACCTATCCGTTGCCAAGCAAGCAGCCCACTACAGCAGTAATCCTGGAGGAAACAACACTACAGCAGAAGGAAACATTCTGGCCCTGGAAACATTCAGTTTGAATCAGACTTCGATCCCAACATGGTCAAAATCTATTGCAACAGCATTGAAGTGTTGTCCCAAAATCTGATTCTATTAGAAAGGTCACATTTTCGAAAAAGGTTGTCCAGTTTTTCAGGCAGTGTTGGATTTTATTCCACCATTCCCACAAGATGAAACATCCCCTTTGAAACACCAGAACCCCAAGAATCTCTTCATGTCTAGTCTAGTTTTGGGAGGTGTGGGGGGGACTCTTACCCCTCTCCCTGCAACCTCTACAGTAAAAGGAAACTTGGCAACTTCCAAGTTTTGAACGCTTCTGCTGCCCATTTGCTTGCCAGAGAATACAGAGTTTGTCCGCGTACACATGAAAAGCCCTCTCTTCAAGAATCCTCGGTCTTCGGAAAATGTGTTTCCCAGCACTTATGCCATCCAACGTCCTTCTCCGACAGCGACCATCGTCGACCACGTCCCGACGCACCGGGCGCCGTTTCACTCGGTGCGGTCATCACTCGCGGAGCTCCACGTCGTGCGCCGTGGACCACGTCGTGCCCCGTGGACCGCGTCGTGCCACGGAAGGGCGACTTAACTGTTCTTAAGCAGGGCGACGCAGGGACAACAAGGATTTTGTGGCCCATGACTGGGGCCAGTGCCCAAGCAATGTTTTCGTGGCACGATTTGGTGGCAGGCACAGCTTGATCTGGTGGCAGGCGGCAGGACAACACCCACCCACCCATCCCACTGGCGCCACTGGCTCCAAAGATTTTAGAGATTTGGTCGCAGGCGCAGTGTACGTCATATATTGCTTGTAGAGATTTGGTGGCAGGCGCAGTGTAAGTCATATATTGATTTTTGTGGCAGTCTATTCTGCGGGCGGGGAGGTCGCCAAGCAGGCAATCGCGCAGCAATGCCTCCTTGGATCACCACGCAAAATGGCAAGTCGCCTAAGGGGATTTTAGGAGACTAGCGGGACTTTGACCTGCAAAAA